AGGTTCACTCAATCGTCAGACCATGTCCTATACCTCTTTGTGTGTGTGTGTGTGTGTGTGTGTGTGTGTGTGTGTGTGTAACTACCATGGCCTCTGCATATCTTTAATATGCTACTCCATATATTGTATCATATGGCTTTTTATAGCTTACGTCTTAGAAATATCTCGAGCCCAGGAACCAAATGTGCCTTATTTATTTTTTACTTTCTACTGTTTAGCTCAAGAAGTAGACTGACTAAACAAAGGCAGGATGATTGCATCCAAGAATAAACAAGACTGATATATTTGGAACAGGATGCAGGGCAAAGGCTTAGAAGAGTATTCATATGTAAACAGGACTCAGCAACTGGCTTGTTTGGGTTGTTAGCTGGTAAGGAATGATAAGCAAAAAACTTTACTTTACAAAGTAAAGTAGCAGTACAGGGCATACTAGCGAGAACAAAGGCTAAAGGGGGATTTGAGTCTTGCCTTGGGGACATAAGGCTTTTGAGACACTTTTTTTTTTTTGAGTTTTGTAACGCAGTCTCCAGCCAATTTCCCAACAGTAGTAAAGTTCTTTGAGTACATAAATATATTTTCTGAGAAAATTATCATTACAATTTATTACAAATACCCATGCTTTGGTAAGATATCTCTAAAGGTGCAATAGTGGCACTCATATCTAGGTGGTAACCAACACCCGTGTGATTGGACTTAAGGCCCACTCAAGGGGAAATCATGCATGCTACTGGAAAGCTAGCCAGTTACCCAGGGATAGTGAAGTCATGTGTCTTGAGGAGAAACTACTATATCCACTTTAATAAACCAGTATAATTCTGAAACACTTGTCCTTGTACTCACAGAGAAGTGTAATTCTCATCCCTCATCAAGGAAGTTTCTTTTTGCTGCACATGGAAAGAGTCTCTTTCTCAATACAGAAATCCACAACAGTCAAAATGCAGAGAACAACTAACCATGGGGCACCCAGTTCAAATGCATACATCTATACTACAATAGCACACCTAAGGTCAGGAAAGATATGAAAGAGGGGCCAGAGGACCGAGAAGCTAACTATGTGATTGTGTCTCTGACAAATGACAGTGAATGTACACCTCAACAGTGTAGTTGGTTAGACAAGGCCTGGATGATGACACTACCACCAACAGACATGCTAAAGCAGAGGGAGAAAAATCTCAGGGGCCTCCATCCCTAGACACTAATGACTATGGAGAGAAGAAGAATTAGTCTTCCTAGGTATGAACCCCTAATTGTTTTTCTAATAACAAGGGGTCAGTATATACAAATAGTATACACAAATAACACTAAACAGGCTCAACAGGTTGTATCCATATATTTCTGCATTTGTGTATATGTCACAATACTAATTGGGGGTGAGGCGGTTGTGAATTTGGAAGGGAGTGAGGGGGGCATAGGAAGGAGAAGGGTTGGAAAGAGGAGAAGGATGAGGAAATGATGTAATTTTATTTCATTTTTTTTAAAAATTACAAAAAGCAAATCCATACTAATAGTTAAATTCTGAGATTTTTCTGTATCAGTTATATATCCATTTTATTTTTCCTTTTTTTCTCAAAAGCCATTAATTCAGTTTTAGAGTGATGGAATTAAAGTGTGTGTGTGTGTGTGTGTGTGTGTGTGTGTGTGTGTGTCTGTGTGTGTGTTGCTGGGGATTGACACTAGGGCCTTGTGTACACCAGGACCTGCCAACGGTCCTATTGCTGAACTACATCTTCAGTCCAAAGTTATTTTGTTTGTTTTTCAGTCCTCATTGTGTTTAGATACTAAACTTTTGAAATGTGATGAAGTAAGAGAAAAAACATTATTTCTAATCTCCATCATAGCGTTTACTCAATTATGTCAAATAATAAAGTGTGTACTATTAAGACAAAAGGATCATGGAAAAGCCATCCCTAGTAGAGAACTGAACCTCCTTCATCGTTTCTTTCCATGTCTGCAAAACCAAGGCAACCTGTTGGGTCTTAATGCCAGATGCTTTCTGTCGCCTGAGTCAAAAGTTAGTCATATTTGCCAGATGTTGAAGCTATTACATAAGGCCTGCACAACTGATTAGGCTGATTACGCTAATTAATAATCACCCAGCAATTGTTATGGGTTTGCCCTTTCTGTAGCTAGATTTGGGCTGGTATTCCCGAATAGTTTCCAGGGCTCTGCTTCTCACAGTAGATGTTTGCTACACAGTGAAAGGCACCAGCAGAAACCTCTGTTGGGCAAGAGTTCCAGGGATCCTGTTTGTCATCCTGAATAAACACTGGAAAAATAAGATTCCATTCCCACCATAGGAAGAAACACCTGCTTTACTAATCAATAGGGACTTTTTAGTCAGGATGGATGCACACTATTTGGAGACAGCTTATAGATTCACAATGGCAGCCTATTCTCTTTTGATGCCATGATGGGCAAAAGAAGCTCTCCAAGACTTTCAGTTTTACCTGTGACAAGTTCAGAGAAGCAGGTTTGTTATATCTGCAGTAAAATTCTGACCACAGAGCAATGAGATGTAAAGGTTTCACTGAAATGGTTATACAAGCTCCTTGTAAGTATTCTTGGGTGTGTGTGTGGAGATAGTTTAATTGAGTACCAGAGGATAAAACTCCTGCACCAAAGTTCTTGAGGTTCTAATACTACTGTTTCTTGTTTTTGCTATTATTTTAAAGTGAACCTTTCTTTTTCTTTTTTTTTTTTTTTGGCCAATCTCATAAAATGAACATGAAGCAAAAAATGAGACTGAACAGAATTTTAACATTTCATTGTGTGATACCTTAGAAAGATTATAAAATGTCGGTATCATCATGAGAGACTGAGTGAGGTACACACCCTTCAAACTGCCATAAAGGGTGATCATGCCCTTGATCAGTGAGTGAGTTTGGAGACCCTTGCACAGGGGTCAATTGAGAAGGATGACCTCGTCAACTTCGTAGTGTATCTGCAAAGGCAAATGCTCCTGGAAGCCACTTCCATCAAAACCAGGAGAGATTGAGCATGGATTTTGGCACTCAAGAATTAGCTGACATCATCTGTGGGAGACGCACACAATCAAGACAGTGTACATTAGGAGTAAAATCAACAAAAAGCAATCTGTGCATGATCGCTGTAGGAAAACTTTATAACCTCATAAGTGAAATATTCTACCTGTCATGCTTAAATATTTCTCTTGTAAATTAAAGATAGCTTTTTGCTAGGAGTAATTCTAAATCTGTATTCTACTGCTGGTGGTTTTGTGTGTGTGTGGTTTTCAAATCCCAGGACTATTAGTATGAACTGACTGACACTGTGACAGTAGATCCATGTAACACAATCATGTGGGAAGGACATCCTCTGGTTTTAATTGGAGCTGTGCTCTAAGTCTTTGGAGGACAGTTCCTTTTTAGTCTTTCAGAGCACTAATGCTGGAAAAGAAAAGCACAAACCCTTCCTCCAGTGTACTAATTGAAGACATATTACATAAACACCAGTAAGTAAACATTTCCTAAAAGAGGTTAAAAAATGCATGCCATTTTTTAAAATGCCAATTTTCTGTGAGTTTGGTGATCATTGGCTTGCTTTTTTGACACACCATGATCCTGGGATGGTTCATTGTTTTTTGTGTTTTTGTTTTCTTCTCTCCTAAACTACCCAGGCTTGTATTTCTAAGCATTTACTTTTATAAATAGGAAAAGTACTCTACGGGTGGTATATTTTCTTATGGAAGTAATTAGCAGACACACAGTATACTACAACTTACAATCTGTTATGCAGCAACATGGCCAAGTTTCAAGTTGGTTGTTCAAAACTTAGATGTTCCTTACCATTGCAGCCAACTCTCACTTCTCTGAGATTTAGTGTCTCTGGTTACATAAAAAGATGATGTGGCCTGGCAGTGGTGGTCCACTCCTTTAATCCCAGAACTGGGGTGGGGGGTGGGGCACAGAGTCAGGGAGATCATTGTGAGGTTGAGGCCAGCCTGGTCTACAGAGCAAGCTCCAGGGCTATACAGAGAAACCCCACCTTGAACCCCCACCCCCCAAAAAGACAGAAAGAAAAATGATGTCAATCTATCAGCCAATCATAGAGAATGGGCACTGTCTTAGTGGCTTTGGGGTACTTGTGAGGACCTGGGACCAAGAAGGAATGAAGACAACTAGATAAATAAACAGAATCAGAAATCGACTGTAGCATCATCTCATTAGTCAACTGACTAAATGTGCTCTGGGTTGTAAGTGAAAACCAACCAAGAGAACAAGTGGAGTGAATCAAGATCTGATGGGAAGGTCAACTGGAGTACCCTTCACCTGAGTGTCCAAAGCATCTCTTGAGACTTGCATACACACAAGGAATGACAGGGCACTTGTGCACCATGTGGTATGTCTGCTTCCTCTGAACTGAACCATTCCTTGCTAGAGGCAGATAAGAGACCCGAATAACCCAAGAGGCTAAGAAACTACAAGACTCAAGAAGCCCAGAAAGCTGTTGGATTCTTGAGTACCACTGTGGAGGTTATATCAAGCAGTGACAACTGCTGAGGAGAGGAGACTGTATGGTACAGCTTCCGGCAAATTGAGCAAGGGACTATGGGAATTCAGACTCTGTGATTCATCACCCATGTTGGGATGGGCTTTTCAGTGATGAAGATATCTTCAAACCACAACTCTGTGACTAAGCTTTCCCTGATGTTTCTGAAGGCAATTTTAATAAAGTCATTGGGATTTCTGGTGGAAGGGAAGTGTGAAGTCTATTGGAGAAGGCAACGCTCTTCAGACATCCACATCTTCTTGCCTTCATCCACCCAAGATCTTGGATTTTCCATGTTGGAACACTAACTTGTAGCATTTAATTTCACAAAGCTTATGCTCATATCAGCTTTTGACATATTTTTTTTTGCCCTTTTGGCATATTTTTCTCATGTAAAACAATACAGACAATACATTAAAGGTATAAGACAAACAACAGTCAAAAGTAAACCTAACAACCCCAAACTACAAAAATCTGAAAACCATTACAAGTACCTCATGGAAATGACATCCACAATTTCCCTGCAGAAATTCCTTGTGTCGTCCCATTGTGATAGTGAAAGTGTCTACTACTTCATAGCCATATTTTTTTGCAGCTTCCAGAATGCTCAGATTTTCTTTATGCAAGTTTTGTACTTCAGTCTGTATTACCAAGCAAGAGATATAGGGTTTTGATTAACAAACAATTATTTTATAATTTAGTAACTCAAACAGACATTATGTAAATTTCATCTTCTTTTACCAAGATTGGTTGTATTGAGAGAAGAATCCCATGTCAATTTTTAAAATAAAAGTGTAATCTATTTTTTTCTTAAAACATCAGCATAACTGTTTATGTATACATGATACAACAATAAACGAATGTCTTCTTCACCTAAAAACAATTAAGTTTATTGCTTGTAAATTTATTTAAAATTCTCAAATTAAAAAGTGATGTTTTACACACTACAAGGCAGACCTTCATCTACTTGGATCCTCACTTATTCAGCCACTTGAATATTAACTGGCACTTGAGTTTTGCTTAGCTTTTTGCTAAGGCGCAGAATGGAAGGGTACGTATTGTGTGGTCTGTGCTTGTAAAACACAACACTATAACTGGAGAAATGGGTGCATCCACAGTCAGTAAGTCCTTTACCGGGTGAAAACACAAGAGGAATAACTTCTAGGAGAAGTGGAGCATATAGACCATGACACAGAAGATTGTACAACAGTTTTGACTGGAGTTTGCTAATTGGACATGGAGGAGGAATATGCTTCCAGAAAAGCAGCGAAATTGGGTGAGGCTTTCATCTGTTGCCTCTCTGGGTCACAGTCCCCCACCTTCCCTGCAGTGTCGCTGGCAATGACTGAATCTGGCTGAGTTGTAGTCCAGCTTCCCTCTGTCAGGGAAGGACAACATCACCAATTACTAGAGCTCCAAACCTTCCCTTGGCCTGGTTAAGTTTCTTTAATCTAAGCCCCAGTCCAGCTCTCCTGTCACATCAGACATGTCTCAAATAGTCTTCAACACATTAGTGAAAAAAACTGAATGGTGCTCCTTAGACTGCGTTGCAAATGCTTCCTGCTTGCTCCTTAACACTTCCTGTTATCATCTCTAGGCATTTCCACAGCACATCCTTTTATTCCATCAATCCTCTTGTGATGTCTTAGAAGAGTCAAAGAGTCTACCAAGTAACATAGGGAAGGAACTATCCCTCTTTCTCCATTTCTGAAAGGTAATAGGAATGGTTGATTTTTTTTTCATTAGAAAAAGTCAAACAATTACTTTCATTTGTTAAGCCAACAGCAAGATAAAAACAAGTGGTCTATAACACATTTTTTTCTGTTGTCTCTGCTGGGCTTGCATGCTTATTTTAATCTAGCACTCAAAGAAGCGTGTTTTCTTTAAGATAAAGTCAGTGAATAGAGAGACCTCATAAAGAGGCAGCCACAGAGGAAATGACACTTAAGTTAATGTTTGATGGGCACTAGGAAGTTACCCAGGTGACGAGGTGAAAGAATAGGATCCATGAATAGGAAACATTGATCTCCAGGCCTAGGAGTCACTGAGAGCATGGCATTCTTGGTGTGTGTGTGCACAACCCTGTCCTCTGGTGAGAATGGATGAGTCTGCAAAGGAGGTAAAAGGCCCGTCTTGAACAGCTTGGAGAGTATATGATAGAGTTCAGAAAAATGATGTCTTCACTTGCTGTGGTCCCTTCCTCCTTTCTATTTTTTGCTCTCTTCTTCCAACCTTTTGTCTTCACTCTGTTAACAAAGACTGATGAATTGTACCACAGCTCTGTGGGCAGTCAGACTCTTAACACAGGGTTTACAATAGAACAAGTGCAGAGGATGAATAGTTGAGAGCTAACAACCTAAATGTAAGTGAGGGACACAAGTCCCACTGCTGTGAGGACCGCTGTCAGAACAGAAACTCTGTGGTGCCACTCGAGTCTCAGGAGTGAATCTCGGCCCTGACTGGAAGCCTTCAACAACACTAAAATGGTTCCCGCTCCCAACTGACAGCAAAAAACTATCAAAGTCCCCCCTCCAGATTCCATCCCCACTTGTCCTAAATCTTTCTATTCACTAGAAGTTAATGTCCCAACATACTTTAAGTTACTCAAACCAAAGATGGCCTTGCTGTGGTGAATTTGGAGTTTTGGCTTTGACCACAGTTCTCCCCTGATATAGAGTAATTGGCATTCAGGAAGGGAAAGTTTCAAGTAAGGAGAGGGGGATCCCATTCTGTGCTTGAAAAGCTAGACTGGCTTAACGCAGACACAAAAGGCAATCTTAGCTGCTTCCATATTACATGGACAGTCTGCCCCCAAACCATGATTCTGTACTTGCATATAAACTTGGGCTAGACTCTGTGGGGGAGTAAGGATCTCTGACCTACAGATATCGTTCTTTTCTAAGTTTTATAATTAGTGCTGAGACAAATTTACTGTCTTCAAGAAATGGCCAGAGGCACCTAACACCTTTCATTTATGGATACCCAA